GTTGTTAATCCTCAGAGCCCAAAGTAAAATGTTCAAATAGTTCGTTGGGCAACTAGTCAAAAACACAAAGATATAAATATATTTGCTATTGCAAAGAAAGCAAGTTCTTATTTCCTCAATTTAGGTCCTAAAAGCAGAGAATTTATGGTGGTTTTGCTCGAAAATGACTATTGGTCTATCGGTTAACTAACCAATTAGTAGACTAACCTCTTGTCCACTTGCTAGTTTGTCTGAAGCCTGTAGTCATATGCTTTCACCTGTGTATGGAGTTTTAACTCTCTCAGTTATAATAGAAGGTAATCTGTTGGATCTATATCAACCTAGTAGTTGCATGGATGTGATGACAGCCACTTGCCTCACTACAGATCCATCTCCGTCAGCTGATGAAGCTGTAAGCTATAAGTTTGTCACTGCATTTATGGACACACAGAGAGCCTGTGTAAACTTAAGTTACATTTATGAACTAACCTGACATGTAAAATTGATTTGCATTGTTAACTTTTACTATGTTACATCATCACAATGAGATCATGTCCCAGTCTCAGTAGGATTTCTGGGAATTTTAACAGGCTTACAGGATGAGGTCAAAGTCTCTTAAAAGGTGGATTTAATGAAATAATAATAAAACAACAAATTAAATGTATATGTGTAGGTGATTTAATGTTTGTGTGCAGAATCCATTGAAAAAGAGTTGAGATCATAAACATCTACAAAAAAGCCCAACTGATCAGTTAAACCAGTAATAAAATATACACATTCACATTCATTCCTTATACTTCCATTTAATGAGTTGATAAAAACAATCTTCCACTAGAGTAACTACAGTTTATTTTCTGACCTCATGGTTCAGTATCTCTAGATTTGATAGCAGGATGTTGTGGGTGTGAGGCCTATCAAAGCCAACAATGATTTTTGCTAAATTAACTTCAGTCACTGGCAGGAGAAGATGCACTTATTCAAATTACAAGATGATTGTGTGCCATTTCTGAGATAAAATCATTTTGCCATGCCAGGAGCTTTATTTGAATTCATTGGTGGTCGTTATGTTCGAGAAGTGAGCATGTGACTGGAACAAACAGCAGGATTCAATCTGTGGTACGAGTGAAAAAATCAGTGTCTGGTCCTCCTACATCAACACCTCTGTGACTCCCCCTGACTCAGTGGAGCAGCTCAGTGTCCAACAGGTCAAACTGTGGAACGTCAGTAAAACTACCCTGAATAATAAAGGTGTTACTGTATGCAGTATATATTCTGTGAGTGTGACATACACTGCATGAATGCTGAGCTTCAAATATTTAACATTTTTCATCCTCATATGTAAAAAAAACCTCATAAAACATATGATATTCTAACAATATGATGTGAATTATGGGTTTTACATGGGTATTTCTAGTATGAATAATCACACTTCAATCCACAGTGGAGGCTGTATCATACTTCATGCTGCTTCTCCCCATCCCTTCAAAATTCTGACACTTTCTCCTCCCACAAACACTTAGTTGGTCATCTTTACACATTTGAATGTGAAAACCTTCTCATCACGCTGCATCGCTCACTGGGGTCAGTCTGAAGCCTGACGTGCCAATCCAGCAGTCACATCTTGGACTCTCGTCAGGTAATAAGTCCATCGATCTCATGTTTGATTGTCAGCATTAATCAATTTAATATGATGACTTGATCCACATCTTTGTTATTATTTTTTAATTTATGTTTATCCTTGCGATGCACCATCACTGATTGTCTTTATAACTCATAGGCAGCAAATCAGCACAGACAAGATGCTCTTTGGGTTCTTTGTGTTGTCTTGTGGGTTTTTCATGGACATGGGATTGTGCACTGCAGGTAAGAAAATATCATTGACTTCTGGTTTTTACTGAGTAATAGCAGATTAGATGTAATTTGAGTTTTTCTTTTGAGAACTCAAATGAAAGTGAGAGAATGTGCAGTGCAGAGCAGACTGATTTTAATAGAAGAAATATTTCTAAAAATAAGCTTTTATCTATGTATACTGATATTTATTATGAAGTTTCACCCACTCTCTGTGTTTGTATTTCATTGTGGTGGCAGATTTTTTCCTCAGCCAAATATTCTAATGTTTTCACTGTTGGCTTTGATAAAAGTTTTTCAGGCTTGACAAGACATAAATACATAAAGTGTCTGATGGGATGAATATCAAAGTGTAGCGCCACATCCTGTCCAACTCTTGTAGAAAAACAACACGAGGAAGCAAGCCAGTTGAAACTCAAACAAAAAATGGTAATAAATCAAGTGTATGGAACAAACAAAGACTCTGTGTTCGAATTGGCCAAACAGTGACAGGGGTTTGAAGAGCTTGTCTACGTGTCATCTTTTGAAAAGGAGGATCTGACGGTTGTCAGGATCAGCCTGTGGCGACGGATCCCTGAGGGCTTGGCCTGAATTGAGGCTTTTGATACTCTTTGACTGCCCTCCCATCTCACAGTGCCATGGCATTGAGACTCTTTGAATTGACACACTGCTCTAAAAAGATTGAAGTCTACAAACTTTTTTGTAGAAGAAGAGAGTGGCCAAATCGCCAGGATACCGGAAACTTGTTGTGACAAGAAGATCAAAAACATGCATCCACAAAATCCACCTCAGACACATCAGCATATCAGATTAGAGAGTGAAAATGGTCTCTGATGAATCAGGTCTGTGGAATGTTTGTGGGTGAAAAATAAAACATGGAGTTACTCTTTTACTGTAATGTATTTAAATATTTTGCTGTCGCCTCCTGACACCATCCCAACTGTTCAGTTGCAGCCAAGACATAATGGATGGTGCTTTTAATTATTTATTTTACATTTTTAATAATATTTTATCTCATGAAAAAGAGAATGACATACAATTGACACCTTCTAAGATAGATAAGTAAGATAAGATAATAATAAATAAGCTGATAAGTGGAAGTACAAAAAAGAAATAAAACTAGGCAATATAATAAATGTACATAATATAAACTTTTCACTGCAGACAGATATTATAAGTAGAGACATTTTCTAACATTTTAAAACAAAAAAACTAAGCAATAAATACCCAAAACATAAGCAAAGCCCTACACCGACACTTTCTCCTTTTGCAATGCATTCAACTTAATGCAAATGCAGGAACGTTCAAATCACCAAAATCATGTGTGGCAATCCATTTAGTAGATTTTAAGATATTTCACTAGATACGTGAAGACATGGCTGCAGGTGGAGCTGGATAATAAGGCCAGGGGATCACCCAAGTCAGTAGGATTCAAGCTCTTATTTCTTGTTTATCCTTCTAACAAGGTGGTGGTGCAACCAGCTGACCAACTGCACAGCATTGAAATCCTTAGAACTAAATCACACTCGCCACTAAAACCCTGTTAGATATGCAGTCAAGCTGCAGTTAACAGCCCATAAAACAACACCTGCTTTGAAAAAAGGTTGGTGAGCGACTGATCTGAACTAACTCCTTGTCCTTGTTCCTTGTCCTCCTCCCTCACGCTCAGTGCCAACAGAGCTGAGAATCACAACAATAAAGGTAGTTCATCTATTCCTTTCTGTTTCGTGCTTAACCATTACATTCTTGTGAATACAAGACTGAAGATTAATTACATTGCACTGATTGACTTTTGACATGTTCCCTTATAGCAAGAGCCATATACAGTTTCCAAGGGCTCTCAACTGGAAGGCTTTTGTATGGACCTGCTGTCTGAAGTAGCCAAGAAACTGGGCCTCAAGTACAGAGTGCAGCTGGTGAAAGATAGTTCGTATGGCCGGCAGGATGACAACGGCAACTGGAATGGGATGATTGGAGAGGTGGTGAGAGGGGTGAGTACATGAAAACTGACATTTGAAGAGGTCATGGGCCAGGAAAGCACTCTGCATAAACTTAAATTACCCAGCTGGCATCTGTGATTTGCAATTGATGCATTTGGAATAAGGAAAAATAAGTGGCGTGAACAAGGTTGTTGGTGAAATTAAAAACTCCTTAAGCCCTCATGGATTTTCTAAAAATACACTGCATAGCCTATTATACTGTTTTACACATGTCAAATGTATTTATGTATTCCCTACAGGAAGCAGATCTTGCAATCGCTCCACTAACTCTCACTGCAGCTCGAGAGAAAGCTGTGGGCATGACCAAACCATTCATGCAGACAGGAATCAGCATCCTACTGAGGAAGGACATCTCAGAGGAATCCGGCATCTTCGATTTCCTTTCACCCTTTACGGCTGAGACCTGGATTGGCATCCTCATTGCCTATCTGGGGACAGCTGCAAGCATCTTTATAGTCACCAGGTTGGTGATACTAGTTGAATTTGTGATTCATACAGATATTTCTGGATGTCATTATATGTGAATTTAAAGATATAATATGTGGAAATGCATTACATGTATAAAAACGACTAGACCTACGTTATGTATTTTGTTCACTTGTTTTTTTCACCTTATGCAAAATGTTTCCAATGATGTTCAAAACCAGAGTAATTTGATTAGGATAATGGGATGTTTTTATTTTTATGCTAATAATTCCTCTCTTTGCTAGCCTTGCTGTTACATAAATATTGAATATATCTTTTTTTATGACTGCAGACTCAGTCCATGTGAGTGGAGTCAGCCTCAGACTGAAGAGAACAGATTCAGCCTCCTCCACAGTCTGTGGTACACAGCTGGAGCTCTGACTCTTCAAGGTAAAACCAGAAACTACAACAAGTTGAGATCACAATTTCACAAGAGGCTCATTTGTGTTTTTTTGTTTGTTTTCAGGCGTTGGTCCTCACCCCAGAGCTTTGTCAGGGCGTGTTGTCTGCTGCAGCTGGTGGTTATTCACTGTCGTCCTCCTGGCTTGTTATTTCTCCAACCTCAGCTCCTCTAAGAGCCAGGAGTCCCCTCAGCTGATGGTGAAGGGGTTTGAGGACTTGGCCAATCAGGACACAACAGAGTATGGCTGCCTGGCTGGATCGTCCACCCTTGCCTTCTTTAAGGTGAGAATAAGGATGTTGATCTCTCAGATTTTAAGACTTAATGACCTCTGGTGCAATGGATCTCTAATCTCATTTTTTATTCCCCCCGATATTTTTTTTCACCCAGAATTCAAACAACCCAGTGTATCGTCGAATCTATGAGCACATGGAGAGAACAAAGAGCTTTGTGTCATCAATGGACGAAGGGGTCCGGCGAGCAAAAAAGGGCAACTTTGCTTTTATCGGAGAGTCTGTCTCCCTGGACTTGGCAGTAGCACGGCATTGCGAACTGGTCAGAGCTCATGAAATCATCGGGATGAGAGGATACAGCATTGCTACGTCTCTTGGTGAGGCTGCTCACTTTCAAATCTCAAGAAATATGGTAATTTTTAAAAATGGTGTCGCTAAAATTAAACGGATCATTTTCTCCAAGGTTCCCCCTTGATAAAGAACCTCAGTGTAGCCATCCTTCAATTGAGTGAGGCTGGAGAGCTGGCTTACCTGCAAAGCAAGTGGTGGGCCAGCAGTTGCATCGCAGACAAGGCCAAGTCTTCAGCCGTTCACCTGCACAGCCTCAAGGGGATGTTCCTGGTTCTTTCTCTGGGCTTGGGGTTAGGAGCACTGCTGGCCATCCAAGAGCTCACATCCAAGAGTCGCAGGAGTGCAGGGGAGCAGAGGGTATGTTCAAGTGCACTCATAAACCACACTCTTGCTAAAAACACATCAAAACACTCAAATGCAAAAGACACTACCTTACAGTCATACTCTTCCACACACAAGCCAAACCTTTGTGTGGATGCTTTGAGGCGCATGTTTGTAGCAAATTCTTGTTCGATAAAAATGAAGCATTGCGTTAGTTCATGCAGGACACAGAGTCATGTGCTCAGCTGTCATAAGCTGTCAGCTGCTGATAGGTTTATGGGTGCTCATCAGTCACCCACCAATCACAGTCCATTCTCTCACCAAAGCGGTCCCTTTAAATACGACATCATCCTCACTGATCCCTGCTCAGCTGCTGCCGGCAACTTGCGTCCACCACCCCAGCCTCCACCTTTTTAGCACAGAGTCCAAACATGGTTGTGGTAAACGATATTCATCTTAAACAAATGCACCTTGCCTGCTACGCCCACATGTTCCCTATTTTATCTCAGCACGCTGCTCGGCTAATCCAGCGAACATCCAAAGAATGGAGCCTTCAGCGCCAATAATAACTATATTCCCATTGTGCAATAAATGGATAAATCATGACAAAGTGTTCCTGACTGAACCTTTAGCAAAGCGAAACAAATCGAGTGTGATCAATGAACATCCGGTAACAATCTATTAAAGGAGCACTTGTAACTTTTGTGTCTACGTACAGCTCTTTTTCTAAATCTCTTTCATATGGGTTTCATAAACACTTTCATATCTTGGCAATAGACCCAAATATTTACCAAAGCCTTTGAGTCCCCTCCAAGATTCTGGCACAAGGGACAAGATAAATTGGAAATGCCAAAAACTCTAATGTATGGACATAACTATGAGAATTACGATGCTAAGTCATCTGTTGCCAGACATTTCAGTGATATATTATTATATTCATGTTTAATGGTTGATAGGCATTAAAATTCAAGTTCCCCAAAGTTCGATAGAACGTGAAAAGAAGTGTCTACAAAAAGTACTTTACCGCTGTTTGACTTTAATGAATAATTTTAAATGAGTTTTGTTTCTTGTTGCAAGCTGCTTCTTGGTATGAGTGTTATTTGGAACATTTACACTAAATAAATCCATGTATTAATTAAGTGATTTGTTTCACTTTTGTTTATATTAACATGTCCTTCCCTCAGAAGTCCTGCTGCACTGTGCTGAATGAAGAACTGCGTCTGCGCTTGAGGACAATCAATGCAAACACACCCCAGGAAAATGTAGAGAAGGACAAAGAAAAAGCATAGACATTATGTTGATGTCAGAAATTTGTTTTAAGGACAGCAACAAAACTTTGATTCTGTCCTCTAACTTGTGTGATTTATTTTTCACAATTAATTCCAATATTTAACAGAAACCTGATTTATTTACATTAATCATAACATCAATTTAACATTGGGTTTTGAACTTCATAACCTTTACAACAACAAAAAAATCTCTTTATTAAAAAAAATTAAACTTTATTAAATAATCAGTTTATTGAAATTAGTACAAATGCTACAGTTTGAATGAAAAAGCAAACATAGTTTAAATTCTATGAAAACACTTGTTGAAATGATCTATGTTTATGCTTGAAAAAATGACTAACAGTGATCATGTGTTTCTAAGTAACCTCTTTATGACTCAGTTGGCAATGGCATCAAATGAAATCAACAAACTATTTTGAAAAATGATTACATGCATAAAACCTGTCTGTAAACATGAACAGCATGAATACAACAGTGTGGATTGTAAACATCACAGCAGGCCTAAAATAATAAAAAGTTTAACTGTGTAACTCTGCTTCATGTCTTCATGTATCTAGAAAGTAAGTCACAACTGCTTTATGACTCTGTCTTGTTTGTTTTGGGAAAAATCTCTGGAACTTTTAGTCATAGGAAATGTTTTCACATGTTTTCCATCATGGCCAAATGACTGAGATTAGGCAAATTAGCCTGACCAATGGCTATGACAATCTGTTCCACTCCAATCCACCAGGTGCCAGTAATGCAGGAGATAATGACCAGGGATTTTTTGGAGGGTAAAAATATTTTCCCAGAACTTAATTTATACCCTGGTCCCTTTGGTGGAAATGCATGGAGTTCCTGCAATTTTTTCCTGTCCCTTGGGAAAGTTGCTGCAGTATAAGTACAGCTTATGTATGTTCTCTTGCACACCTTTTTGCTGCTGTTGTTGCTCGTCTTCCTCATCTGAAGGAGAATATTGTCTTTGAAGTCTCAAATTTAATCTGCGGTATCTAAAACACACAAAAGTTAAAAACAAAAACCAGGATTTAATAAAACCACTTGACTTTTGTATATGTTGCTATTTTATTTTCCAAATATGAATCCCAATTGAGTCATGACTCACCATCCAGAAAAAGTGGTGATTTGCAGTGGATTTCTCTAATCTTTTGGTCAAACAGGGCCCTCATCTCCCTCTGAAGAGTCCCTTCACGTTGCCCTGCGTCGGCTGGCACGCAGGAGGGCACAAACTCCAGGCTGTCTGTGCTTCCGCCGCTGCTGCCTGATGTGCTGTCTGACAGGCAGAGACCGTTGGGTACCTGTTTCACCTGGTTACTGTAGCTGCCATATTTTGGTGCACGATGCGTCTGCCAGTGGAAAACAGGTTTGTGGTTCACCATGTGAGGGGAGGTAGTTGGTTTTCGAGGGCAACTACGTGAGCGGGCTTTTGTCCGTATCAGGGTGAATGGTCGGGGGGTGGCTGGAGCCTCCAGGGTCCGTCTCACCCTGGCAGGGGATGGTGGAGGGATAAGTGGAGTAGATTTGGCTTCAGGCTGGTTAAGAGGCTGTGGCACAGGCTGATGCTGAGGGACTGAATCAGTTGAACTTGGAGTTTGTGGTGGTTTTTCAGGTTCTGTACCAGTTTCTGGTTCTAGTGGTAATTTGTCTGATTGTTTAGGCTCCTCTGCTTCTAATGTGTGAAGGGTCTCCTGCTCTGCACAGCTTGACTTTGGTGGTTCATGAAGTTCATTCTCTGCTTCTTCTTGAATTGGATTTTGGCTGTCTGGAGCAGGACCGTCTGGACATGAAGCCTGGGAAGAGGTCTCAAGGTCAAAGCTCTCGGCTATCACACAGGGAGCAGCCCCCATGTAGTGGGAGTCAGTGGAGGACATCCGGCTGAAGATTCCTCTCCTTGTCTCGACTGGTTCATGAATTTTAACTCTGTGAGCACGCCTCACTGGCTCGCTCATGGTCCCTTTGTGGATGGCACCCTTGGCTGCTGGCCCTTGTACCAGAAAAGACAGTTCCCCATTCCTGCTGTCCTGAGAGATGGTATCCAGATCCTTGCGGAAATACAGAGCACGTCCATCTTCCGAGGACTGGACGGAGAAGTCCAGAGACGGCTGCCGTAGAGGACCCTTCATGTGCTTCTGAGCTGCTTTTTGGATGTGTTTTCTGGCAGCTTGCACTGCATTAGAGGGTTTGATCTGTTTTGTAAAGTACACAGAAAGGTTTTTAGATACTTCCCAAATTAAGCTGAAATAGGATATGTATGTTTATGATTTTGAAAAAGCTCACCTTTCCTGTTATATCATTGATAGCAACATGAACAAAAATGGATGACTCTGCCATCCCCTCCAGGTACACATGCCGATAACCTGCAAATTTAGCATAAAAAATTGATTCACAATATTAGTTCAAGGTTTTTGGAAATATAATGATTTGTTTTATTGCATGGAGTTAGCGAAGTGTAAAAATGACAAACCCTATTTTTATGAAGGGTTTTGTGTGAGACTTTCTTTTGCCTGGGTGCAGCAGGTCTTGTATAATTAATTTAACTTTTACCCAGAGCAAACTGATCTTTCTATGTCATGTACCTGGCATCATACTGGTGAAAGCCACAGTCCTCTGTCCAATGAAATCTCGCCCAATGGGATCATGATCCCACACCTGGAAACGCACCAGGGCGATCTGTGGCATTTGAATATTGAAGACGAGGGTCTCCTCCCACATCGGGTTGAAACCTGAGTGACAATAAAGGGGAAATTAAACAGACTGAAAAGCACAAACTTGGTACGGCTGACCCTAATTTGCAGACAGATTGTGCAAAGATACCATTATCATCCACGACCCTGGTCTGCTGCTTGGAACAATCATTACTTAGACCGATGATCTCAACCTCTACAAAGGGATCAATAATCTGAAAGGTTAAAAACATGGATGATTTTTGAGAAAAAAGTTTTTAAGGGTTCATAATAATAATGTTGCCATGTCTGATATTTTTGACCTCACCTCTCCTCTGTCCCCAAACATGGAGTCTTTAGGTTTGGGAAGCTGCTGTCCACTGATGATCTTTAGCACTAACTGTGTCTTTCTATGTCCCGGCAGAGGATCCTCCAACATGGGGTTAAAGGCAGCTGATCAAAACAAAATGTTTTATGTCTTGACATAATCACAGCTGCCATTCGTTCCTCACAGACTGCATCATACACATACCTTTACACATGCACTTAGGCTTCAGAATATAACCACAGTTTCCATTGGTTGAGAACTTGGCTCGGTTCAGTTCGAGCATGCGTCCCTCTGTTTGATAGTTCATCGCAACTAAAATCAAAAAAATACATATAAATGAAAAGCTGCAACATTAAAAAACAGAAATCGTTTTGTTATTTTTCTAAAACGGGGCACTGCTATAGTCTCTGATGGTCTGACCCATATGGCATCCTGTATTCCAGTATGGTTGAGGGTTGAAGTTGCTGGAGTCCACTCTGTAGTTGGATGGGTAGACTCTGAGGAGCTGGCGCTGGTTGAAACGCACCAGCTCACCTGGCTTCAGCTGTAAGATCTGGTTCATAACGGTCTCATTGAGGGACGATACCTGCCAACTGTTCACAAACGCTACCAGAGACAAAATAGCATCAAGCATCCATTTTCAAAACTCACAATGAATAGTCTTAAATAAGGATAAATATATGCAGAAAAGTTGGATGTTGGCTTAGATTTCTCTTGAATTTACCTTGTGTTCCTATGTCGTGGACACGAACAGATTTTGTGTATTTGACCAGGTCAGACAGAGCTCGAGACAGCCTCATTGTTTTCCTCTTCCTGATGGGACATTTACAGATACACAGTTTAATGAAAAGTATAAGAAACACAAGGAACATTAGATTGCTAAAACATCTAAATTCAATGATTAATAGTCTTACTTTGGGTGGTAAACAATTTGGGTCCTTTCCCTGCTGCTGCTGTAGTCTGATTCTCCATCAGACATTGACTTGTTTTTCACTCGAATTCTCTTTTTCCTCTGAAAAATTTAAATATTTTAGACTATAGTCTATAGTAAGCTTTCAAATGTATTATTTGCATTTTTATTGGTGTAAAAATTAAGTGGAAGGAAGATAGTATTATAATATTTGTCAACCTTTCGTTTGAAGCTCCTCATGATCGATCTGCCTAATCGTCTCTTCTTCTTGGGCTGATTTGTAGAAGTAAAAATATTGCCATCCTGAAACAGTCAAAGATAATACATTAGCAAGCCAACAAACCAACCAACCACAACCCATCCATTGATGTTTCACTTGCCTGTGGGTCATCTTCATCTTCCTCCTCTTCCTCATCCTCATCACCAGTATCTTCATCAGACACATCACCTTCCTCAGCATCAGGGTCGAGGTTTGCCGGCAGCTTCTTTCCCTGAAAAACACCAATCAATTATTTAGTTAATAGGCACTTAGTTCTTTGTCCCTTTTGTCACTTAATCGAGAAAAGAGTGTTGCTGACAACAACTTTACCTTCACTAGAACTTTTCCTTTCAGTATCTCAGGGGAGGGCAGCTTCTTGCAGTCATGCACATTGACAGTGGACAGGTCCAGTTTGTCCTGCAGCACTTCTTTCAGGTACTCTGCCATCTTTTTCTGCTGAGGCACAGTGCAGTGGTTCTCTATGGACAAGATCACTGGGTACCTGGGATGGAGGGTTGAGGGGGTGTTACTTTAATTACTGATGCTATTAACTGTTATAGGTTGTGAAACTCACTGTGATTTCGTGAACGCATATTTGTCGATCGTTTCAATAACATCTTTAAAGAGGATTTTGGATGTCAAGGTGTAACCATGGTGGATAATGGGCTCTCCATCGGGTCCATCCCAGCAGTCCACTGAAAGAGCAGAGAGAAAAAAACGTTATCTGAACTGTGAGACCTCTGTTGAGATGAATTTAACGTAATGATAGCTGAGCCTCTTCTTTTTCAGGCTCTTACCCTCCACACAGCGACAGCCTGCCTGGAGAACATAGGCATACATTTCCACCCTGGACTGAGACAGTAGCTGGTCTCCTGTCAGGTAGGTGTTGTGTGATGTGGCAATGAAGTAGTTGCACAGAGGCTGTGTCATGTCCTGGTTCACCTGATTGTGCTCAGGGTTGAAGATGTCACCTGCAGGACTCCGCATGTAGTTGGTGAAACCTGAAGGGAAAAATAGTTTTAGGCCAGCGATTTTATTTGAACTTGATGTCGTTTGATGTGATGCAAGTATGTGCATTTGACATACCATCGATACCCAGTACCGTACGCTGCAGGTTCTCAGGACATGGCTCAAATTTTGCCACTATGTCAACTAGATACTCTTTGGCCAGGCCTCGCATCTGTGGATTAAACATTATCAGAAATCATCTTAACTGATGCAAATAATGGTGATGTTTTTTGCTCAGTTTTTTATACCCTCTGTTCATGTTCCAGAAAGCGTGCTATGTCGTGGAGATCCATGACTTCTTTCTGGTTGCTATAGGAGATCATTATCAGATAGAGGTCTCTGCGTGTGGAAATCATCTTGTAGAACAAACAAAATTCTTCAAAGCCCAGAGAGCCTTGGTTGTCATCTGTGTCTGCCTCCTACAGGAAGAGACAAAAGTGTTGAATCAGCCTGAGTCAACTCTCTCAGTACGTTTGATTTGATGTAACCACCCTGCCAAAGAAAATACAACACCCATCTGAACGATACATGTCTGTCAACATCAAACATGAGGATGCTATCATCATCAGGAAGCGAGGACAGTGAGCTACTGAACTAAAAAAAATATTGCAGTGCAGCTGAAGCCATCTGTTCAGCAGTTACCATATGGTCTTCCTGTGATACTCAGTCCTGCCAAAATACTGTCTATACATATTTTTCGGCTGGTTCTAGCTCCATTCTTTTGTCTTAGCCATGCTAACAGCATAGTGAGACTCTGTAAATGGGATTGTTGGTCTGTTTGTCAGTCCACTTTGTTGCAGAATGGAATGTATTAAAAACTTGCCATGACATTAAAATACAAATATGATTATGGTCCTGGTATAATGCAGAACTGGTTTTCCTGTATTTCCTTCTAACCTCACTATGGGTTTGACATTTGTGGCTTTGAGTAAAATGTCTAAACAGATATTGGGCATTTTGTTATGAAATTGCTATAAACAGGTCAAAATTCCAATTTGTCCGATACTTTGATTAATGACAAATACACGCACAACAAAATTATCCTCAAGCTACACTTTGGTTGATTAGCAAACATTAGCATGCTAGCATGAATAACAAAGATGGCGAACATGTTAACACCAGCGAACCAGCATTTACAGTGCATAGCACAGGTGTTGCTCAATATTTGCAGCCTCACAGGGCTGTTTGCATGGCGTCTGAGTCTGTTAGCATAGTTCTCAGCTGCTGTACAAAACACAGTCAAGTTAGTAGCTAAATCGTGTAGCTTAATTATGTTTTGTGGTTAGAACAATAGTGATACTAGATTACTAAACAAGCAAACACTCAGAGGTAGCATTGAGTGGGTCATAGATGTGGATGGTGGATGTAAGTCTTACTTGAAACATCTCTTTGACTTTCTGTTTGGGTAAGTTCACATTGAGTTTGTGGAGCAGTTGGTGAACTTCTCCGATGCTCAAAGTGCCGTCTCCGTTTTTGTCGGCCTCAGAGAAAGTCTGCTGTAGCCACGTGAGGCTGCAGTTAAGGATCATGATCGGGTAAGTTCATATGTGTTCTTCTGTCAGACTATTCTCAACTTCCTGTATGATTTGTCCAGTTGTTTAATTCAGATTTTTTCGTTTTTATCATAACTTTTAGGCTATTTGACCAGTTGAAAATGAAATGAGGGGTTTAAACTATTGTCATTAAGAGATTCAACATGTGCCTGCTGGGTTGAAAAAAGGATATTGATCGCGTGTTCGTTGCCGCCGGGCCAAACTGTCTTCATCGCTGATACCAGCCATGAGGTATTTCAGCCCAGTGATCCAGGTGCGGGCTTCCTCTGCGTTAGTGGAGACCAGGTCCAGGGACTTCACTCGCTCCCCATAGTAAATACTGAAGCAGCAGTTTGGGTCGAAGCGGTTGTCTGCGTACTTCCGGAAGATCTCAGATTTTTTCCCCTCACAGACTTCATGGATTGAATCAATAGTTACTGAAACAGAGGAAGTAAGGTTGAAGTGGTCAAATAGAGCTTTGCACTTTTTTAAATCAATTTCTTGTGGGCTCAGTTCCAGTGATTATCCGTAGACTCTGTTGATAGACTGAAATGCTTGAAATACTTTTTTTAACCCATGGGTAATGTCTTTAATTGTATTCATTATAGTCTAAAAACAGCCTTAAATTTAACTTGTTGAAGGTCGAAACCTGCAGAAAACCTGTCAATGTTTTTGAATGTGATGCACAGTTTCTTTGTTTAAATATCCAGGACTATTAAAGAGCTTTATGATGGACTATATACATATAGAGTTCAGGCATGCTTTTGCAAATAGATTTTCCTCATATATTCATATAAAAAGGAAATCTTTACAACATATATATCAAATCAGCAGCTATTTAGCAAACTTTTTACATCTTGTCGCATTAAACACAATAGTACAATTTTATTATTGCTACATTTATGAATATGAATACTGCTTTTATCAACACAACACCATGCAAACAGGAGTAAAAATGTAATAGATTTTTGATCAGAGGTATCAGAGTATTTGTTGATGCCTCTACATTGATACCTCTCAAAATATAGTAAAAAGGTTAACGTGCAAGCTTAACCTAGACAGAGGGAAGGACAACAGGATTCTACAGCCCTACTGAGAGAAGACATGGTTCAGTCTATTTATTCTTCTCCTAATCTTTGATAGATCTAATTGGTTGATTAGTGATGGTGATTTTACAGCAGCTTCTCTCATGTGATCAGTGATAAAGAGTTTCCATCCACAAAGTGCATCACAGAGAAATTAATATTCTGATGTTCAGCTCTGTAAATACAGAGTGTTGATGGCTCACTTTTGGCCTTGTCGTGTTTCCTGGAGGGCCGCCATCTGACACAGGACTTGTGCTCGTCCAGGTAAAAGAAGCGGACCAAACCTTTCTTCTTCCCCTTCAGTTTGGTCATCTGAGTGCCAGCCTGCATGGTGCACATACACCTTTCCACTGCACAAGAGCACAAGGAGACTTTTTTTATCAAATGGTCAGAACAGTCAAACTCTAACCCAAACATCAGATTCAGTTTTTAAGTAAAATGTAGCATGTATGTGTTTAATATTGCCCATTAGGTGCAGTTCTTTGGTCAAAAGTGCCATTAGAAATTGCAGCGAGTCTACATGTGTTGTGGTTTTGTGCAGGGAGCTATTATGACTAATTCAAAAAAATCCACGAAGCAACCAAGACAAATGGAGGTTTACCATGTAGCTCTTGTTTGGGATTATAGGCTGCGTCACAAATGGATTTAAGGAACTGTTAATGTGTTGATGGTGAGAGGCACAAGAGGGAAAAGACACACAGGCCTGAAATGATCATTGTCTGAAAACCCAAGCCAATCAATTATCAGCCGCCTCGCAAGAGTTTAAATAATATCTCCACACGGTTTTGTTGAAGTCTGAAGGGTGCTTTCATGGCTATACAGCACATCACATCCAACTATTTTATTCTAACGCCCAGGCCACCCGTCTTCACTGTGAAGCATTGCATTTGTTTTGTGTGCTGAGAGCAGGTAACCTTTGTTTGTAATCTGTAGCTCAGCTACACATGACGCAACCTGGCACATCATTCAGGCTAATCCTAAAGGATTGTCTACTCTCCATATGCCCATTATCTACTCACAGGCCTCCCAGTTCCCCTGCTTTTCTCCAATGGTAAATGTGGAAACGCCCACATTTTGCCCATTTACAAGAGCATAACATGGCAAAAATGCCAAATTGAGGTCAGGGTTTTAGAATAGCACATTAATGTCATACATTTAAAAAGCCCTCTTCAGTTTGCAGAAGATTTTAGTGATATTCTGCACTACTGTGAGTGTTTTCAGGCAAAATCATTTCATGAGTCAACACCGAGTCTTACCTATTTGACCTAGCCTCCATTTAGGCTGTGCAACCACGCTGCCCCCAATCCAGAAAAACTCCTCTGCCAGTCTAGATATGGATGCTTTCTGCCAGAGTTTTGGAGAGCTCATGATGGATGTGCTGGGGGAGTTCAAGTAGCCAGAGGCCTCTTTCACCTGATGGCAGGAGCCCCTAGCCAGCGAGGGGGAAAACATCCCTGATGACAGAGACCCCAGGGGTTGAAAGGTGGTCTTCTTGGGTGACATGGAGGACAGCGGCATGCTGCCACTCAGTCCTGGAGACAGAGGGGCCATCGCTGGGTTGCTGTTCATCCCTGAATCGGACATTTGACTCTATCCAGTCCCATTTAGTCCACATGAACCCATCTTCCCCCTCATTCTGCTGGGCTCTTCAGAAAAATGTTGTTCACCGGACAGCGTCTTTCATCCTCATCTACCAGGTAAAATCCTCCCATATAGGATCAGGGAACAATATTCCCATTGTGAAGGTTCACTCTTCATCATCCTGTGCTCAGTGATCCAGCCATAGACTCTTTATTTATTTTTCTCTTGCACCGAGAGAAGGTTTGCAGAGAAGAAGTGTGCAACATGTGTCAGTCACTAAATCTTCCTCAAGCTGTAATCCTGGAGTGAGGCGTCAGCCCTGCTCTCATGGAGGGATTTCCACGCAAGCAGTAAGCCGCTGAGGAACCAGAGTAATAACGGAAGGGTTCATGAGTTAATTTAACTACACTCATGGCTGTCCCTATCATCATTGGGTTTATAGAAATCATAATAAATCAATAAACTGTGGTAAGGACAGACTGTATATGGATTTATATCACACTGTTGCAATTGATTAACAAGCAGGAACAAACCAACTCTCAACTGTATGCAAATATCTCCCCCTAGAGGAAACTGTGAGACACACACAGTACATGTACACATTTATCTACATCATGTCACTAAAGCATATAAAAGAAGATCCATTGTTATTTATTAGTAGAGTCACTATATTTGGTATTTTAAGCTTTCGGTTTTAGTCTGTTATTCTTTGCTGCACCTGTCAGGGTGAGACAAACTATACATTTATTTTATTATATATATTTATACTTTTATTACATAAATTAATTGTTTATGTGGTGGTATGAGACAATAGACATTGATCTCCTGAGGATATTTTGAAAGGCACAGAAGGAATTTCTAACATTGACAATAGCTGCAGCTCCTTGTGAGCTCTTCCAGAGAGACGGCCCAAAAAACAATACCAGAGTCTCGTTTTAGATGGAATGCAGCATCGTTACCTAAAGAGTTCTGGGATATTTAGGCCGGTGGACCCAAAATGTAGGAGTGAGGCAGATCCAATTACAAAAAACAGAACTTATTCCAGCTCAAAACAAGGGGCAGGCCCAGGAAGAAACAAAACTCAAACTGTCCATGAAAAAAAAAACAAGGCAGGAACCACAGGAGGCAAACTGACAGCAACTAAGACCATGACCTTACATACAACTCGATAAAGACAGAACTGAGGACTTGACTTAAAAACAAACTGAACTGATGACAAACTAGTGACAGGTGACACAGGACAAACAAATCAAGGCAGGAAGTAAATAGAACAGAAACACAAGGGAGATCAGACTTTCAAAATAAAACAGGAAACAGAATGAAACAAATCTAAACACATATCTGAACACAGAATTAGACAAAATCTAAACAGGATAAAACACAAATCAAAACAGAGTGGAACACAGAATGAAACACAAAGTGGGACACAGAATGAAAAAAAGGAAACATAGGTAAAGGTCAAATAACCAAAAGTGTCCATAATAAGAATAATCCACAAAAAACAAAAACTCTTTATCCAAGAGTTTAAAAAAAAGTTTTTAAATGGAGAAAATGCTCTAACATGCTGATGTGTGGTACCAGGTGTAATGATAACCTGCTCCCCACATAGACTGTATTTAAATATGGATGACATGACAGCTCCCAAACCAAAGTGTATTGATCGCCCCCTGGTGGCTGGCTGCCAAGTCATAAACTCCACCTCCTCCATAAAAAGTAAACTAAAAAGTCAATAAACATGTAGCATAAATCTGTCTCAAAGATGGTTTCTGTCATTTCTGTTAAGTTTGGTTTTGATCAGTTATTTGATGCTGTAAAAACAAGTAGTACTTCAAGTAGTTCCATACCATGGTTCTATCCCCCAATCATGACTGAATATGGGATATTTAGGCTTCATTTCTCGAAAGTGGGACGACATTGAGACGCTTCTTTGATATTTGTTGTTGATAAATTTAATTACAAACCAAAAATGTCAACCTGCTGGTGGCACTGGAGGAAAGGTCAGACGATCGGCCTCAGGTATCCCCTGTGGAAAATGAGTATCATTACAAAATACTATGAGAATCCATTCAATAATTGATGGAGCCCATATTGGAGCTAAGCTTATGGCATGGCTTAAAACACAACAACAAATATGCATAAACACTGATTCCATTGTGGTACAAATTAAAAAAAAACACTCCTCACCTTGTAGGATTGATTTAGATTTTAATGGGTATTATACAAGTTTTTCAAAGGAAAAACAAAAACATTGTAAGAGGCAAGTGAAACCCCACTTCCAAACCAAAACTACAACAGTATCAGCTAACAAAATGGATATTGCTATTACACTGTACCCAACAAATACTGAGAGAGGGTATCATAATGATAAGACATAAAAGTGTTTCTTGTCTATATATATATTTATATATATACGAGAGCACCTAAAGTTGAAACCACGAAAAGGTGTCGCTTCTACTCTATTTGAAGGGAGGTTGGAGGTGCAGAGAATTCAAATCCATTTTTCAGTTTTTGGTCTGTGGTGTAATATATACTCTATAATTCATCAAATAATAAAGATTCTTCTCAAATAAACAAAATCAAGGGAGAAATTATAATCTGTTTCAAACCTACAAACTCTACTGATAGGTCAAGTTCGTGACTATATTTATGGTTTACCACCCATTCTGGTAAATGCCCTGTGATTGCAATGATATTCAGGGATACGACATTGAAATTGCAAATCCAAATATAGTCTCTTTTTGGTTTCAAGTAAGAGCAAAAAATAATTCAATCAGTTTAAGTCTGGAGCAAGCAAACATACCAACAAATATCTTATTTACAATATCATCGTATGTACATCAGAGGATACTGAGGGAAAGAAAGTATGCTTAAATTCCAAGTTCATGTTAACTTGTGATTTTAAAAAAAAAAGTAGAAGGGAGTACAATGCACAATGCAAGGTTCTTTTCTTTAAAAAGTGCAATTCCTTTTCTTAAAGTAAAAAAATATATATCCATATTTTGTATATATGTAGAAATGTTGTTCATATAAACAGCATTTGTTGATTTAAGAGCCTAAAACCAGTGACTAAAAATGAATGCTTTCTGTTAATAGGCAGCAAATTATTATAGAATATAAATTATTTTACAATACTCATTAGAAAATCAGAAGTACCGCATTTCAACAAATACAGGCAGCTATTGAAGTTTTTTTTTCTTTTAGAAGGGCATCTGTAGACTGCACTAATGTGGGCAAGAATTTTAACCATTTATCACATGATTTGGTTGCAAAAAACATTACTGGAAAAAAACAATGTTCAAACAACAAATAAAGTTGCATCATAATATTACAAAGTAACACTTCCATAAAATATCTAAAGCATTAAACAGTGGTGGACCTGAAGGAAGCCCACGTAACCTCCAATACTTCAGGTTTATAAAATACAAAAGGTAGACAAGCTCGTATACACGCGTACATGTTTGAATATGGATGTTTTTTTCTTGCCTGTGGAATAACAGTGCTGCGCAAGCAATATTTCTTAAAAAGTACATCCTCTACACAGTTATAAAAAGCAAGCGGATATTAAAAGTAAATAGTGGTAAACTGGTGTCTCTTGTTTCCAGTGGTCTGCAATGACACCTTTGAGTGTACCAGTATTCTGTGGCACCGAGAGTTTCGTCATCTGCTCATGTTTCACCAGGCGCAACTTGTTCCTTCCCTTCATATTCAAGTAGTGTTATGTGGCTATATTTGCACATCGTAGAATAGCTTATACCAAAATAAAGTCCGTGGACAGCGTCAGATGTCTGACGTCACTGGAGAGATGTGTTCATCGCTGAAGAAGTCTTTCTAATGCTCGACAACATGCTGAGACATCATGCTACTTTCCAGTTAATGTCATTATATTCATATATTGTCATAATAATATCATGTAATATCATATCATATTATATATGACAGATTTTTTTCCTCTTACAAAACTGACATTTTGTCGAGCCTCTTTTCAATAACAGGAGGTGCAACAAAGTCCTTTAATCATGCTCCTTTTGTTTTGAGTCCTTTTCTCCAGTTCTGAATGTGCAACTTTAGGATCCGTTGGTGAGTTGTGCGGTCTGTCTGTGTTTATCTGTGTTTACGTTGTTGGGGTCTCCGGGGGGGGTGCTGTCAGCCTGCAGCGCCAGCTGGATTTGCAGGTCTTTAACAACGCTCTCCAGGCTCTGCCGAGCTTCTCTCTCCTGCTTGAGCTCCTGCCTCAGCTGCTCGCGGTCAGATTCTGCTTGCTGGAGCTGCACATGAAGCTCTTCCATCTGCACAGCACAACAGACAGCAGTTAGAGTAAATGAAACACATGTAAAGGACGTGATCAATAATCTGTTATCTGTTAGTGGTCAGGCATCTTGCAGACGTCTCACCTGAGTAGAGTACTTGACCCGGAGACGCTCTGCCTCACAGCCTTTGTCACAAACTCGCAGCTGCCTCTCCCTCTCCAGCTCTCCCTTCAGTCGCTCGCACGACTCCTCTGCGTCCCTCATCTTTCTCTCCCAATCCACACGAAGGCGTTCAATCTCCTTTCGCAGGTTGCGCTTGGCTTCAATGGCCTCACGAAGGCGTCCTTTCTTAGCCACCCTCACAAACTCCAATTCCTGTGAAAAACATCAGAATCATTTCATGTTCCATACACTGATATTCATGGACAGATTATTGTTGCGCAGCAGTGTAGTACTTCACAAGAACAGGGCTGTGTTACCTGCTGTAGGCTGCGTTTAGCTTGTACAGCAACTGCCAGCTTTTCCTCCTGCTTCACTCTCATCCTGACAATCTCCTGCAGCAGTTTCTCACGAGCTTCTTTGCTGTCCAGGCCTGCGTACAGCATCTGTCTCAGGGAGTCCATCTCCGGGCAAACGGGCCCTGACAGCCAGACAGGTCCCTCCTGAGCTCGAGTGACACTCTGAGGGGTGAGAGTCTGAGACACGCTGGTACAAGCTGACGGAGGAGAAGCCAAAGAAGAGGGTGCCACTGGACCTAGAGGAGGGAGAGAAAAGATTAATATGTAAGAACGTTGTGATATTTCTCAAAGAAGTACGCAACGTGTAAATGTGGGATTTTTCTTGTTCAAAGTTAATTATTTTTAGCTAAATGTTTCAACCATTTAGGTTCAAAGGTTTTATTTGTCATCTGCACAACAGATACAGCGTACATGTTGGCAATGAAAATCTTAAATCCCAGGCACCTCAAGCAACTCAACATGCAAGTGTCAGAAAATAAGAGTAACAGTTTATCCATTATATTTACCTCTCTACTGTATTTTTAATAATTTCAAGCTCTGCCCAAATTCAAAATAGTTTAATACTTTATTGTAACATGTGGTGTTAGACCTTATTCATGTGTATGGATATATCTATATCTATATATATTAGTTCAGCTACTCTGCCTTTATATCCCATGGCAACAGCATCATTAATTCTCGGGTACATCTGCTCGACTGGGATAAAGCATTGATACTGAAACTTTGATGGTTTAATAGTTTCACAGTGGAACTGAACACACAACATTACAGAGAGGGATTTTTTTTTGCTACATAACAGCAAATTTAATTTCCCTTGCACTTCTTCCATTTGACACCGGGTGGCGTAGTTGCACAGGAGTCACCCCAGACCAGCTCTACCATGGCTCATTTCCAGTGGGGATCATGTGTGATAAAAGTTGTAACTGTAAAGTGTGTGTGTTATATAGGCTGACTCCTGTGAGGGATGAATTCTTTCTCTTTCATTCCATGTGAAGAGTGGTACTCACAATCATCGCAGTCGTCCACATCAATCTCTCCATCGGTGTCCATGTTGTCAGCTTGTTTGCTGGGACTGGAAGAGGCCGGTTGTGCTGCAGGCTGTACGTCTCCATTATGCAGCTCCTGTGGCGGCCTGGAAATGGCTGTCAGTCCCCTGCCAGGAGCCGGACTCTCCCTGGGATGGACCAGGGGAGCGAGTGTCAGATTGGGATCCGTCAAAGCCTCCTGATTCTTAGAATAGGACCTATGGAAGCAGTGGAGGTAGATTTACAACATTTCACTCTACTGAGTTCAGATATTATGCCTGTAAAAACTGAAACTGTTACAGCTCTCGGATGACTCACCTCTCTGCCTCACTCTGAGAGGCTGGTTTCTCTTTCTCTGCAGCTTTAGGAGACCAGGGGCGGAAAGCAGAGGGCCTCTGTTTCAGTTGGACTTGTTTCAGATCCTGGAACAACAAATGAAACAACAAGCTCGGATCAACCCACAGTAAACTACAGCTGGAACATTAAATCAGCTGTGATGAACACACTCATTTAACAAGGCAGGTAACACAGATGATTCCACGACGATTCACCTTGTGTGCAGACTTGGACAATGACTGTAACCAGTCTGGTTTCCTGTCTTTTTCAGCAGACGGAGATTGCAATTTGTCGAATTTGGACCTCTTGGCTGGGACTGGGCTGGGAGACTGTGGGAAGAGGAGAGAGAGAATAGATGGTTAATCATCATCATCCTCTGCAGAGATAAAGTGCAGATATTACATCATGGAGCACTGTGGAGAATTCAAGAGCCCACAACTTCTAAAAATGATACTGTATGACTGTAAATGGCATCATTCATAAGCAATGTGTGGATTTGTCAGAACATGAGTGTGTCCCAAAATTTTTTTTGTTTCTCAACTCAGTCTTGTTTAATATTTGCAGGACAAGAGCAGAGAGTCACAGTGAGGTGGAAAACAGAAGAAAAAGAAAACAGTGGAGAAGTCACAGGGAGGGAAGGAGGATATAGAAGATGTGTCTGTGTAAGCGTTCAGTCTCTGAGCTTGGCAAGTCCCTGTGTGTGCGTGTGTGTGTGTGTGCGTGCAGGGCTTTGAGCTGAGCAGACACTCAAGCTGGTCTGGCTGGCAGCCAGTAGGGCTACATTGCTCCCTGCCAGGCAGAAGAGGCGCCGTCAGGTGGAGCAGATCGACTCCCCGAACCACAGAAATATTGCGATACAGAGGCAGACGGAGGTAGACAGAGATGGAGACAAATTAAAGTAATTGCACTCTGATCTGACAGCAATCGCATTGCAGTGTACAGGGAGGGATGCATGTTAATGCAGGGCTGCAGATACATGAGAGAGACTGTACTTTAGGGAGGGACACATCTGCCTCAAAATACTGACTCTCAGGAGCTTCTTTCTTGCATATTGTATATTGTCTCTGTGTGTGAGAGACAAGCTCCAGGGTCATGTGTTGAGATAGCTAACCTCCTCAGCCCTCAGGTCTGCACTTGTCAGACAGAGGATATGTTTACCTAGGCAGGCGCAGAGGCCAGTGTAGACCTGCCTGCCTCGCTCTTACTCACTACTATGATATTCTGCCTCCAGGAGAGGCAAACACTCCCATCTCCTCGTCTGCATGTGCGATTCAAGACAAATGATTACTCTGTCTACCTTCGAAAATCCTCAATGGAAACACTCCTGCAGGGTTGCATGTAGTTGTGAAAGCTTAACCGTTGTGTACTGTAATCACCTCAAGATGGAAATGACAAACCTCATTTAGCATTAAGCGAGAAGCCTGGTCGGTAATGAATCATGTCTCACAGCTTTTTTTTTTTTACACAAATCCAGATGCTGTGTGAATATGTGTGTGTGTGTGTTTGTGTGTGTGTGTAGCAATGAGTGGGTGTTGTGTGGGTAGGTGAGCGGGTTGTGGGTGTAGACATGCATATGTGTATCTGGTACAGTGTGTTAGTCAGGTCTGGCACCACAGATCTGAAACAGAAAACTGAAGTCGGCTGTAGTTCGGAAAAAAGTGTATTTCAATAGTCAACTGTTTAGAGAGCTTTAATAATGATGGCAGGAGCTTTAATGGTAATGATGATGAAGTGTTCAGGTCATTTATCAAGCAAAAATAATAGTTATTCTCAGGTTAGAAGTTTTGACTTTAACTTTTAACAGTTTTAATTATTATAGAGGAGGTTTTTGTAATGTTAATGAAACAAAACAAATCATCTGAATGGAAACAGTGGCTGTTTTTTAAACCATTTTCTGGCATTTTATGGACTAAACCAATAAATCTAGGGCCGACCCCCCACAGTTTACTGCAAAAAAAAATTCCTGCAACTGCGGAATACCTGGCCGCTCGTTATTAGAGCTTTCTTTCAATGCCATCTCCCTAATACCTATCCATTTCTATAAGCTGCAAAGCTGGTAATTTTTTCAATAATAATTTTTGTTAGATGTTTATTTGTAATTTTATTCATAATTATTCAATTCCATGTCTTTATTTATGCCTTTAACCCAAAACAGCTGCCAGCTGATAATAAAAAAAGAATGCTGTGGAGCCGTGAGCTTGAACCAAATCAGTAAATTTTCTGTCAAGCAGCTAAACAATGAGGTAAAACCTGCTACAAAGCTTCATAAAGAGAAGAAGAGCTGCAAATTCAGCCTCTTTCACAATGTCAGACCTTTTCTGCATTATCATTTTATGCATAATGATAATAAAAGAAAAAAATAATAGCCAACATTTCTCCCTGGCAGAGGAGAACACAGAACTGAATAAATAAAAAGTGATTCAGATTGATAATATTATTTTTGCTCGATTCGATCAATAGATCAATCAATCGCTATAAATAATAATAAATTGCACTGCTGTTCTGATGAATTAAAAGTGCTCTTGAACTGCAGGCTGTAGTAGCTTCATATATAAGTGCTGTGTTTGTCTCGACGCTCCCCTCGCATCTCCCTGACTCACAAATGTCTCTACCTGTCTAACCAGTCACCACATTACACACACACCCATTCATGCACAGCACAACTACTGTTTGCTTTAGCTACTGTCTCCTAACCCCAGACCTCCCTCTGACTGCACGTATGGCTCAGTGTCAGTGATTGACCCCTCACCTGCCTGACTCAAGGCCAGTGGTTTTCTAAGAAACTGCTGCTCTGGTGTAATTAGACTCTGTAATTACTGACATGACTGTTGTGTTCCCGACAAAGGATGTCTGTCCGTCTGCTGCTATTTCTACGTTGAGGTTTGCAGCTCCAGGAAAGCTACGAGTGCTAGACATAATAGAGTCAGAAAACAGACACTCCCAGACACCACAAGGGACCTGCTGGCTAAATCTGACACTGACCTCACAGGAGAGCAGCCGCACGGGCTTTACTCACCACCACATCATAGACATAGCATGGCCACAGAGTCATAACACCCTCCTCACACATTCTACTGCCTAGCAGGTCCCATTGAGCCAGATGATAGGACAAACCCCCCTCCCCCCTCTCGCTCCCTCACTCTCTGCGTGTGTCTCTCTCTCCCTGCGAAGAGAGGGAGGCTTCGTCGGAGGAGTTTGCTTTGGCTGTGTCCCCTGTGGGAACTGAGTCTTGAGTGGGAGGGGGGTGGGCCAGGGGAGCGGGACCACAGAGGAAGCACTGAGCTGAAGGAATGTATACTTGAAGGCCAAGTACAGCCTCCCCTTTAAGACTCCATTCAAGCATTGCCCTTTTCATCTCACTATTGTATGATATTTCTTTGAGGCCCTGTAATGAGGGAGCGTTTCAAAGCAAACCTGTAGGCTAAATACTGTCTAATAGCGGCCAGGCAAGAGTAGACCTGCTTTATTTTTTAATTAGTGCAACATAATGGCATGGTAATACCGGGATAAGCCCAAGCTATTTTCATGCTGGCATGGCAGATATTCACAGAGACACACACAGCACATGGGAAACATATCAATATCTATTCCAAGAGCACAGCGTTTGACCTGCTTGAAGAATAATGAGTCGATATTTTTCTAACTGGAGCGTGATGACGACTGAATTGTTATTTCCCTTGAACATGGAGCAAAAGAACGATATTTGATCATTGATCAGTGATTATACCAGGACTCACTCTGCAGAGATTAGTAAACAAACGGTTGAGAAAAAAACTGATATAACTGTCTCTGACGTTTCAACCATGAACACTGTTGATAGGGACTATTTTCACAGAAGAACGTGTTTGCTGCTGCTGCCAGACAAAGATAAGTGGGAGCCTGGGTAGAAGGCGAAGAAGGTTGAAGAGGAGGAAGTTTGGGAAAGTGGATAGGTGAAGAGGAGGCTGATTGAAAAGCGATGAAGGATCAGAGGCTGACCAGGTATCAGGCAAAGAGGTGTGTGGTCAGGGTGATTCCCTTATTCTTCAGGAAGTAAAGTTTATGAATTGAGTGGTTTTTCTTATTTCTTATTAATTTCTTATTACCTCCTCCAAGGATGTTATTATTCCCTCCACACTTTTTGTGTATTAGTTTGCAGGATAACGTAAAACTACTTAAAAGATTTCCACAAAAGAGAACCCAGAACATTTTGGTGTGAATATGGATCAGGGGGCGATTTTCTGAAACGTCGCAAGAAAAATAGTTTTATCAACATTTTCATTGACTTTATGGATCTTGATGAGACCAGGCATGTTTTAGAGTTTGACATTTATGAGCATGTTCAATTCAGTACAGATCCAAATTAAAATCTGGATGAAGTGAATTTAAATGTGTTCTCATAAGGATACTGTTGGGCCTTGGTGGAGGTATAGCTTATTTAGTTGTTCAGTTTGTCTTTATTTTTAGTTTATCACCGGATGATCTAGAGTCTCTCTAATCTCTCTGTCACCGCAGAGGAAAACTGTGCAGGTTATATAGGTGATCAAGGTCGTTGGTTAATTATCATGCGGTGGATATTTATATCAGTTAAGTTTAGGTTGTGATTTTTACCGCTCTTCACATTTTCTTAACTAGTCAGAAAAGCTGTTTTTCTCTGTTTACACTCTTAATGCTAAGCTAGGCTAATTGGCTGCTTGCTTTAGCGTCATACTTACTGTACAAATATATGAGAGCAAGACAATGACAATGTGTATTTCCCTATTCTATTAATATCTTCACCTCTGTTTATGTAATTTGGAAATGTTGATGAGTCTGTTTCATGTCTGTCACACAGGAAAGACAATGACGAAAAAAAACAATAACAATAAAACCAATGAGAAACAAAACATGGGGCAGCACTTATCTGCTGAGACAAAAATAGTTTCCCCAGCGGAACTTCCTTGGGCAACAGTCATACAATACCAACGCATGCTGCATGACAGCATGGCATTAAGAAAAGTGCACAGCAACAAGACACAACAGTTTCAGATTACGACCTCCTTTTCCCTCCTAAACCCCTAAATGTAATCTCCAGATCGACATGTGCTTAGTGGGGCGCTGTCTCACTCAAGGGCACACCAACTGGCATGGCTCGCTCGGCCGACGGCCTTAGTTGGAAGTGAGAGAATACTAGTTTTAGTAATCTGATCCCTGCAGTTCGGTGCGGATGGTCACAGGGATGCCTTGAGCTTTCTATTCAACTCTCACCGCGCATATCGTACGACTGTTTCTTGATTTATATAAAGCCCCGTGGTCACCTCGTAACAGCTGGGGGAAAATTATTGGTGTCTGCCCAGAATACCCCTGAAACTCCATCCCTATT